CTGACCCAATGGGTCATCCAGACGGGATTGCCGCCCACATCCGAACGAGGCTGAAGCGGTCATGGGCTGTAACCTGGGACACTCCAGTAGCTCATGACGTGCCAATGGCTGCGCAACCCACTTCAACAATGCATGTGGGCAGTAGCATTCGTGATGGAAAAGCATCAGCTGCCAAGCCAGTCCGTCTCCCCTTGCCGCAACAAGGTTGCTCATCAAGGGACGAAGGACGCTTCAGCAAGATACTTGCCTAGCTCGTATCTCATTCCACTAAGCACCAGCTACAGCAGAGTTTATGCATTTTTGTATGTGCGGAGATCGGCCCGCGCTCTGTTCATGCGTCACTGCAAATGTGTCGCGCGAGGTGAGCCACTTCGCAAGTACCATTTCGTATGCGCCAGTCGCAGGCTCGCGTGCTTCGATCGCTTCGTCATACAAGCGCAGTCGCAACCATGCTCTGTGCGCGCACGTTTGCGGGCATCGTTCAATCGTCGCCGTGATGTGATGGAAAAGTGTCTGCACAATTGTTAGCGGGTAGTCAAATCCACCATCGTGTCCGGGAATGTCTCGTGGCGCACCGAAGCCATGGAAGGCTCCGAGCCAGCCTATACCAACGCGTAATTGGTCATTAGGGAAGACGAGCAGGTTCGGCATGCGTGTGCCCAGATGACCTCTTCCCTCGCATCATCAGAGGGCCACATGACACAGATCTAGCCACCAACCAAAAGCGACACCAGGAGCGGCGACTGCCGCTTGCGATGGACACATGTGCCAACGCAGGTAGCCTTGCCGAGATTCGAGGCCAGCCACCAAGAAGTCTCTGAGTCCAGTATTATGGTTCCTTTGATGGGGTCGCTTCTTTATTGAGATGGAATGATTACCGACTACGTCCCAGTCAACTGCAAGCAGCGTCGTCTGGGTTGATGCGATGGCGCGCCAGTTGCAAGCATCCATGAAGAAAGGGATGCGGGAACTAGTATGGTGAAAGCTTGGTGTTTGTGTCCGTCGATAGGCAAGCAATGCGTGACCGGCGACTTGATCTCGATATTGCCGTTATTAATGCAGTAATATGATATGGCGGTGCCCCACTGAGGGTTCCATTGCGCGCATTCCCACTGCCCTCTTCAACCCGATTGTCATTACCACACGATCATTGGCAGGATCTTCTGGAACGTACGCCTGCGGACAAGATGAGAGACAAGAGAGAATGGACATCCTGGAATAGAAAGCAAGACATGGAACCAAAAGCTGCAAAACAGAAAGTTGGGACTATTGTGAAGTCGTGAAGTCCCTATTCGCATCAAGTACGACTACTGACACCTGTCAAGCCCCATCATGGAGTCCTTAGGGCATCGCATGATGTCTCGGAGAGATAGACTTTGCCGAGGCGAGCATCGTGCTTCGAGTGGAGTTTCGCGGTCGCCGGCGCGCAGGTACGTAGACATGACGACCTTTGACGATGATATTCTTCCACAACGAAGGTGATATATCGGGATGAGGTGTCTGACCTATGATCATGTCGGCCGCTCCACTCATTCAGGCCAGGAAAAAGGCTAGGTTCGGAGATGAGCATTGCTCCATTCTGTAAAGGTTGTCGAAATCGCAGGCAAACGACAAGGTCAAGAGCGCTGCCGAACAGTGTCGCCGGGGATGTTGTCTATCCCATCTACTGCAACACCGGCGCTAGCGTACTCTTTCGCGTGGTCCAGTATGACCGATTGAAAGCATCAGGGTGAGCGCGGAGCACACACCGAGTGCAGAGAAGAGACATTCCAGCGTTGGGAGTTCGTAGAGCAGAGGCAAGACTTGTGCAAGCAGCGGTCAAAGAACTGGCGAAGTGTGGACGGAGGAATAGTGCATTTAGCAAACGCGTCTTGGTGACAGCGGAGATTTTATAGATTTGCAGCGGATATCCATCAGGGGATGTAGCGGAGATGGTAGAGAATGTCGGATCGCTCTCGTCGGGGCAGCATACTCAATGACACACGCCAGCCAAGTGGAGGATCTCGAGTCGTGAGAAGAGATTTACCGGAACGGTAGCACGACGAGCGCGCGGAATTATAGCAATCAGCCAGTAATTGAGGCCAATTATGGCGGCGTCAGGGGCGTGGAGAAGCATGAGTAGCTACTACATCCAGCGCCCTTGACCTCCGAAGCAGCCACTAAGAGATTTTAGAGCTTGTAGATCAGACAGCGGCCTGGGCCAAAGTCGACGATGGCTGACCCGAAAGTTGACCGTGGTCCGAGAGGCGCATTCGTGATCGCAAAGCTACCAGAACGCGGCTGTAGTTGAGCAGGATGTGATACCAAGGTCCGCGTGCTTGAGGCGGTGGGGCGATAGATTTGAGAAGGGCATACACTCTCTCTTAAGGCTGACACTGACGCCCAGTAGACGTGGCGCAGCAGAGGGTAAGGGAATTGACGGAAGACCTGATCCATGGTAGAGTAATCTTTTAGCATGCCTTCGCTGTTGTGGTACACTCGCTCGGTGGTCTGATCAGTGTTCTGGCCCCATACAGATTTGCGTCAGTGGTAGTAGGCAGAGGGAACCTAAGTTTCTAAAAGTAGTACAAGAGACATAATAATTATTTAATTATTTATATATTTCTGTATAAATAAAATACTTATAAATTAGTTATAAAGAAGTCTTTAAAAAAGTTTTTAAGTTTTTAAAAAAAGTTATAAGCTTAGTATAGCTATATTCTATTAGTAGTATAGTATATTTTATAGTACTTTAGATATAGAATATTTTATAAGTAAAGCTACTACTTATAATAGTATATTAAATAAAAACTTTTAGCTCTAAAAAAAATAATATATCTAATAATAAAAAATAAAGCTAAGATAATAACTACTATATTAATAAGATCTCTGCGCTTAGCCCTAACTTACAGCTAACCTACTTAATGCGGCACAGCCTAGACTAAAGTCCTAAGCACACGGTACGAGAGAAGCATCCTAAGCAACGTTCGATATGACGGTACGTTCATCTTTCACCATTGGTAAGAGACTACGGTCTGCCAGGTGCGGCAGAGACCTCGTTGTCGACGTCTATAGGATTGAGCTGCATTATCTCGAGGCACTGGACATTCGCTGACCAGACCTGTGGTGGTATTCTTGCATGGTGATACACCCGGTACTGCATCAGCCCGGTCGAATACGCCGCCCTCGAGCATGGGGATCGAGTCGTGCCGTTTCATCCCGAGACGAACATCGCAATCGTAACATCGTCCCGTCCGCGCCACTAGAGCGTGGTCTCAGCATTGATGTTGCAATATTGGTGCAGGGAAGCTTCTTGTTCGACATAAACTTGATGTCGTCCTTCTCGGGCCCTAGGCGGGTTCGAGTTCACGGCTGGGGTGCACAAGTTCGATAACGGAGGCACCCTTGATGTCGACAGTGAATGGGCAATTAACTCTACGGTTCTGCTGAAGTTGAACGTAGCTGTTCTATGAGGCGTAGCATGCTCGATGCGCATGACATGCGCTTTCAGCACTCGTGCGGTTCCCGCACGGTTAAGCTTTGCGCACGCGCTTCAGCATGCAGCCGAGCGCGGAGGTACCGGAGGGCGGGGATGACGCCGACTGTAGGAGAGGACGACCAAACTCTTCTGACGCGTGTTAGCGCTGGTGCGCTTGACTTCGCACGAAGTTGGGAAATGGACGGCCTCTGCGTGGAGAGGGTGTGTTTGCCGCAATCGCAAAGATATGCCCGCCGTGCTGGAGTGTGTCGAGATTCGACGTGAGGACTGTATGGTGGGAGTACGACGTGGCCAAGGTCGGCGAGAGACGTTGCGGAGCCAGTAGGTGCCGTGACAAATGTGGGAGCCTCAGTAGCACTGGGTATGTGAGTTGAGCTGAAGTATGTCCAAGTTGGGCTGGAGTAACCTAATCCGAGTCCAGGATCAGGTTTGTGAGATACAGGCGGACCACGCCTGCGCGTTCGCGGTGCTCGATAGTTCTTAATGACCAATGCAACGTCGGTGGTGCTGTGAGCGGAAAGGATATGGCGAGTGCGAGGGACTCTGGGATGCGTGAGTCAGCATGAACAGTTGCTTCGCTCGGCGTATCACCGGGTTTGGACGGAGTGATTTTGGCTGACGTGCAGTCGATTCGAGCTGGCCATCATGCTGGCGCCTCATCACGTAGCGTGACCCGGTGGCCCGACTGAGCATTTCGTTGCATCGCGCACAGGTTGAGCCATTCCGAGATGCGATCCGCCATGTATGACTCGGTGTGTTGATCTACAAATCGCCGTGTGCCGTGTAGATTCAGTCGGCGCATCGGGGCAGTTGCTGCCTCGCCGCGCTCGTGGGAGGCGGAAACAATCTGCGCAAGCCTATGTCAGCCAGGCCCATACATGTCATGCCCAGATCGCGACTGACCTTTGTGGGAGTGCGTGCTCTTGGCGCGTCATCGTGGTGCTGCCCGTGGGCATTCAATGGGCCGTGGCTACTGGATTGAGCGAATCTGGAAAGTGCGCGTGTTTGGTCGCTGCAGTGGGAAGGGGGAGAGCTGTGTCGGTGCTCTTGGGCATGGCGAGGGCGGGCAAGTTGGCTGCGGCGTCGGCAGTGTTGTGCTTGGAGTCGGCACGGCATAACCGCGTCTCACGGGCGGGGCTCGGGCGGGGCTCGGGCGACATCAGACGACAGACCATCTCAACCTCTTGATGCACTCCCTGGCCTCCCTTGCAGCGTCGCAATCGTTGGCAATGCCCTCTTCGCACATGCTCGCCAACCCATCGGTGGTTGACGAAGACCAAGACAACGGTCCTCGTATGGTCAACATTTCCCCACTGTGCAACTTCCGTACGATTAATGGTTTGTTAGTAGTGCTGGCTCGATTTGTGGATGCTGCGGAAGGAGAACCATGGTTCTAGAGGTACATGGTCACTGCACTTAAAAACCTCCGTTCTGCTACACAGTCGCAAACATACTCTCACGCGCATACACACCATCACGCACAATACCCGCGCACACACTTACAGTTCGCGCATACTCCACCATGTCATCCTCCCAGCAGCAGTTCGTCCCAAGAATTAGACGGGTTCGAGAGCTGCAAGCGTACAAGGACTGGGTCGAGGCAGGGGGATTAGAAAGATTCGCGGCAGAGCACAATGTCAAACCAGACTTCGCTGACCGTCTTTGCGACGTCAAGCCGGACGTAGCCATCGCGTTTTACCTCAAACTCGCGACTATACCTGGCCTAGAAACTACAATGGCACCCCCGAGCAATGAAGTGTATGCCCCCGCCTCTTATGGGCTACAGATCATACAAGACACGGAGAACGGATGGAGCAGCGAGGATGAGACGGATGATAAGAAGGCCAGGGAACAGAAAGGCGGAGAGAGCAAGGACGTAAGTCGCAACACTTAGTCCTTGCATCTTGTAGTAGGGCTGACAAATGACAAGATCAAGGACGAATCCGATTAGGACTTCTTGTTCCTCGCAGTTTTGAGCAGCCCGAGGAAACGAGGCACGCCCGATTCAGCCTTAAGTAGCCTGGCAAAGCGCTACAAAGAGGCATGAACACGCGTGCGCTTAGGTATGTGCGTGGTCCTGAGGAGAGCCCAACGGAGGACACATCGATTGGAGGGGGCTTTGCAACAACATAAATTGAATTTTTAACTACCGAATGAAGATGCATAGCCTGCCCTGCTGTTAAAGCTGAGCAACAATGAAGCTGACGGCTGAGTGTTGGTGGTTTTGGTGAAGATGGCGATGACGTTGATGACAAAGCGTCGCTAGCGACCGTGTAGGCTTAGCGGCATCCGGCCTCGGCCAGCGTTCGCTCTGCCCCGGTGCCAGCTCTCACTGCCACACGCCCGATGCACGCGCCATAGTCCACAATGTCTTTGCAACAGCGCATCCCAGTCATGTCGTCCTCCGACCCCATATTACCTCTAGAGCCGGAGATCCCGGTTCTGTTCTGATCAGCAGCCCAGCGCTCTCGACGTGACATATTCCGTTGCCCTCCACAACACTACTCGCCATGCGAGTCGCATACGTTTACCGGCTCATCACCCTCCCGCATGCGACACCGCTATAGCATTCATTCAAGCAACTGCAGCACCCAGACGCCCATTCAAGACACGGAATCACGTTAAGCAGCAGCACCTTGGACATGTCGAGTATCGCGACGGCCCTGCTCTCGTGCGACGTAGCGCTCAGATCTCCACACATACTACATACACCTCAGACATCGCTCATGTCTAGTCGCAACCAATGGGCTGCCGCTGCCGTCCTCTTCACACCAAGACACGACGAGTTGGAAAAGGGAGGACGGATACACAACAGGACAGCGGACGACGGGCCCGGCATGATCTAATCCCTGGAAGCGCGCACGCCCGGTTCCTGTTGTCTGGAGCAGCGACTTGCAGATATCCCCACTGAGGACGTTACTTGGGCCTTGGAATTTGGCGGAGCTGATGCTGAGCAAGACAGCATGCCTCAGCGTCACCCTTCATTGATGCGCATCTCAGGCTGCAGTACACCACTGCGTCTTGTTTAATAAGTTGCCAACAAAGTCTTTCCATGCCACCCGAGAAGGCTACGACCTCATCCATGATCGCCAAATTCACTCCGCAGCCTCCATCGTCGGCGCGAGCCCGAGGTGCACCACTCCGTCATCGCCGACTCTGCCCTCACATTGACCGCGCGAAGCTTGTCGTCAGTTATCTTCACGTGCTTCGATACCATGCTGCAGCAGAACGTCATCATCCCCACGACGGACCGAGTCTACATGACGCGCAGTTGCCAGACCACGCATCGCCCGTTAACCGAACGTCGACCGATGCTCCAGCTGATTGCCCTCACGCCATCTCTCCAGCCTGTCCACATTGCGGTGACGCCTCCTACACCGGGCCACACGACATCACACGCGTCGCGACATGTTTCCGTCTCCACGACACGCATGGCGATCTTGATAGAAGGTGGACTGGACAACAAGGGTGGCGTATAACAAGATGGGTGTCACGGGGAATGGAGGTCGCTGCCCGACTGCGGGAGCTCATGAATCTGACTGGATTGGCCCGAGTAGACTGCAAGTCTACTAAGAGTGAGAAGGCGGAGGGCTTTTTACACAAAGACCGAGTACATGTTGTGCATGGGTAGCTCTGCTGCGAGAGTTTGGATAACCCAACGCCTGCTGGTCACTATCCTGAGATGGTGAGGTTTCTACGTAGCTGGTAACAATGTCTTATTTGCAATTATTCCTATTTACCACGCAGTCAAACACGCTTAACGAAATCTAAAGAACATATCCTACCCAACACCTCTCCGCCAACACACCTATCAACTGTGTGCGCGAACTCCCACAAAGGGATAGAGTTGATTTTCCTACGAAAGACTGTCCCTGCCCCTTTAGTGAATAAGACTTGGTCGATGATCATTCAGACGGGACGCCAACAAGTCAGCGACCGTGGGTGGGGATGGATCAGGTCCGAGAGGAAAGCAGCATTCACAGTGGTAGTCCGTTTCGCTGATCCTGGTTACCCGTCCATTCACTCGGTTGCGTCCAAAAGCTTGAACCCGTCCACGAGCTACCCTCGTCACACATGTGGTACATACCGGATGACCACACGGAGTGTCGAGCAACCCATCGTCTCCATTGCACACGCAGCATTCCATATGGCTGGACCGGAGGGGGTGAAGCTGCTGAGGGCCTAAAGCGAGGTGTTGGGGACAGTAGACTCGTTGGTCGCTGTCGCGACAGGCATTGAAACATTGCCCGCAGCAGATGCTCTTACACGTGCTGAAGACGAGTGGGCCCTTGTCTGGGTCAGTGTCGTGTTCGTGGACGCACTGCGAGATGTTTTTGATGCTGGAATGAGGAGTATCGGACACGCTCCTAAGCCGTCGCCAGCTTTGCTTCGTAATGGTTATGCAGCTTCTGAAGAAATCTACAACCCCCAAAGAAGGCCAACTCTTGTATGTGAACGCGTAAACGCCCAAAAAGCAAAGGAAAAGAAGGATAAGAACATTGGTCTCGACAATGTTGCGTTCGCAGCCCGTTCCTAATGGTACTGGCCAGAAATAGATAGCGAGGACAAGAAGAATGATCGATTCGATAGACCAGAGCTTAGCGGAGCGATATCGCGTGCCAAGGAACCGTCTTTCGAGGTGAGCCATGAAATCCGCACTTGCAATTACCGCGAACCAGATAGTGAGGATGGCATAGAACCCTTGGCCAACGCTTGGACTACGGTAACAGTCCCCTTTGTCGAACACATAGGGCCAAAACAGGCGAAACATATCTGGCTCCGGTTTGTAGACCGGTCTCGGGGTTTGGGTTGTCAGCATCCATGTGTACGCGGCAGCAGTCAGTGTTTTCCGAAGGCTAGTACCAATGAAGGAAACAGCTCTAGGATGGCCGAGATATTTTTGCTGGCATTTCCAGACCCCGTCTTGAATCGCGCGCCTTGAGTCATGGATAAATGACACGATCAAACGCCAAGCTTTTGGTAGCAGGTCGACAAGACACTCCACACCTTGACATATGCCCCAGAGGACTAGCCAACCTATGAAGAGAAGACCAAATCGTCCCACGTTATCGCACAAATACTCATTGAATCCATCTTGTGAGGTGCGTGTTGGAAGCAAGGACAGATGCGAGAGATCGTGATCATCATACTTTGGAAGAAAGAGCCCGGCAAATAGAAGCAGGACGCCTCCAAGGACGCCGGCTGGCCACTTCTCTACAAGGCTAACCCCGAAGAAATCTTCGATTGACTCTTCCATTTGCAAGAGCTAGTTCGATAGATATTGTCGTGATGTGTCGAGGACTTCTTGTGAGGACTTCTTGTGTAGATACAGTGACGGATCGTTCGTGTGGATCTTTGTAGTTACGTTGAGTGTGTATAGGTAGTCGTAGTTTGTTGTGTTATCTTTATGTAGTTCATAGCTATACTGAAAGGTTTACAGAATATATACAGGTTAGCGAGCATGACTTGAAGGAAACGGCATACGATGTTTACTAACAGAGATTTTTACTGAAGAGTAAATACGATGCATTGTGTATATATAAAGACGCAGCGAAGTCTCGCAAGAAGTTAACAAATTTCACTAGAAAGAGCTATCTTGGTACTGCTCTCAACTCGATGCCAGTGCGAGCAGGCGCTGTGAAATATAGTGCGATGTATACGGGAAACCTTAGAAACGGCGAAGACTGGGAGCGTGAACTGACTTTGGAATGGACGAAGGGTATTCTTAGTCGAGTGGGATATGTCGAGTATTAGCATGGCTGAACATTTGGAAGATGTCGTCGACGTGACCCTTTCGAGAAGGTGAGCCTTTGCTCAACCACTATGGCGCAGTTAGCTTCGCTCGTGCTTCGTCGATCATGTGTAAGGCAAGCGACGACGCTTGTCGCTCGCGAACTACCCACTGCATCTGTCCTACTCTTGCCTATCGCAGCCCCGATGGCATACTTGCACATGAGAAGCTATATCGGTCGTAAGCAAAGAGGAACCTGAACGGCAGCATTGCGGCGGTTTCGATAAGCAGCACGACGAAGAGACTTAATGTTGATATTCCGCAGAGGCGACGACGTGCATTTGAGGTTTCGTCGCATAAACAGACTTAATCTTGCTTCGCGTCTTTTAAACCTATCGCAAGATTGAGCCGGACTAGAAACACGGGCAATTGGATGAGTATTGTAGAGTCAAGTGCGCAGTTCTAAGATTGTCGGTATATTCCTTTCACGAAATCGCCGATACAGTAGGAAGAGAGCTACACCTAGAGCTTATTCGGTCCCTGCAAAGCATTCGGGTCTGTTGGAAGAACGAATAGCCGTTTCCATCCAACATGTGCGCTTTCCGACAACCCCATGCGCACATTCCCATATGTGTCCAGGAACAAGAGAGACACGCCACCCCACGCGATACGGCCATGGGCATCTTGTATTGTCAGCTGATGCACCAACCGACCATCTCTCTCCGTTCTCGAGATGTTGGCGGACCCGAAATGACGTTCAATAACAACGGCTTGTTGATAGAAGTACGATGCAATCAAATGGGCAAGGCAACGGACAGAGCCATATGCAGCACTTGACGTAGTGATTGGAAACCATGTGCGATTGGCAGACGTTGCAACAGTTCCTGTGGACAGCATGGAAAGGGGCGCAAGCATGCTTACTCCAGGATATATGCTCACTGTCTCGTCCTAGCCTCGAAATGAACAGTTGACAGTCTGTGGGCGGGAAGAACGTAACGAAGGAAGAGATACTATCAGCGTTGGACATCGTTCGGTTCAACAGGGTGGAGGGTAAGTTCCCCAGCTTCCCCCAATCTTTATGAGTGGACATACTCACCCATAGCGACATTAAAAGGCAGTAGAATCTGGAGATTACGAACCTTGTGGTAAGATATATCAGGCTTGGACCACCACCAGCGAACGCGCCAGCGTGCGCATGGGACTGGACTCGCCATCTTGGAGGTTGCGCTGGGAGGGATTGCAAGTCGCACACCATCTAGGTCCTTGAAGGTCACCAGAAACCCAGCGCCCTTTCCACAGGCCAGAGGGATCGTCGGGTGTAGCGATGACTCCGAGAGCCAATCGTCTGAAGCGTTGCACCTGGAATGAGCGACCTACCTCGAGTCCAGACTGGGAAGCAAAGGTACCCCGCGCCATGTTCACACGAGTTTGAGATGGCCTATGCACAGCCGCGCTTCCTATCTGCGCATGGCTCAGTTGGGGGCTGACAGACGGGTACCACAGCAAAGTTGGAGAGGCGGCGGTAGCAGCAGGATCCAGGACCATGTCTGGTAACGCTCTGACCTGCTGGTGAGGCGCAGACTAGACCGAGATAGCTCTAGTCGCAGGTAAGCGAGGGCGGGCCGCGGAAACCTTGGAAGTTCCCGGGCCGCGTGCCAAATTCTTCGCCTCCGCGTCAAGGCGACAAATACAGCGACTTACCGCGCTTGGGTTTCTGCTGGCCGGTCGTCGGAATGACTAGTGAGCGTCACACTCCACGCCGACCGCACCGAAGCTCGAGCATGACGTTCCCGGCTATTGCGCCCCTATTTGCAACAGGACGTCCGCGAGAGGAAAGAACGAACGAATAGAGTGCGCCTTTGACTCGGACTGCGGTCTGGTCCTGGTTCGTACTGGAGGAAAGAGCGAGAGGCCGCATTTCGGCCCAGGAAAATCGTAGTGGATGAGCTTGTCGTGTAACCATCTTCGCAATGACAGGAAGTGCCGAGCCCGCCATCTTTAAGTAGAGAGTTGCATCTGCACGCGCAGCCCGGAAACGGACCCCCAGTCGCCTGAACTCCACGAAGCGGTGAAGGCATTTACGCAGCAAAGGGGACGAACACGGACATGATGCGCCATTGAGGGTCAAAGTCTTCCCCGAAGCCGGTCTTTGGTACCGGTCCTGAAAGGTGCGATGCTGAACGTGTTCAATGTGAACTTATTCAGGTATCTAGTGATGTTTCATGCCAAGAGAGATACTCTTTTTGGCGACTCTGAACTTACTCGCATGCTCTGTAACCATTGTCAATGGGTATTCCCCTGAACTGTACCCAATACGATCGCGATGCGAAGCTCCGATGCATGTTCTGCCACGTCCTTTCCCGCCTTCTTTCTAATCTTCGCTCAGCTTGATCCAGAGTGCATCACTTGCTATCGGAAGATGTAGGCCAGGCCGCCTACGCACGATGCAGGCCATGAGATGCATGTGCAACGCTTCCACTCATCCAGACATGGTGCTTTGTAGTATTGCGCACGTCAGATCTGTGAAGAATCGATATCGTGCTCACAGCATCTTAACCCTCCCTTCATACCAAACGGCATATCACCCAAGTTCCGTTTTGAAGCATGCTGGGATAGCAATCGGTGCACTCTCGTCCTCACAGCGAAGCATCGGCCCTACGTCAGCTTTTCAGTGCTCCTCAATAAAGACTGTATCTCAGAAGAACAACATTCAACGTCGCGTCCCCCACGCTTGACCCTACCGCCTGGATTGTAAGCGATGCGGTCACGTTACTAGCGCGGTACAAACGTCTACCCGCAGAGCTCGAGTCCCGTTGAATCGAGCTTGACATCTCCTCATGTTTACACTTTTGTCACAAGGTTGGCGAAGCAGAGCGCTGCACCACGTGGTGCATTCATAGTCCTGATAGCATCACATCCTCCGATATCCTCCCCAGCGCCGCTACCCAACCCACTATCCATCTTCCCATCCCAGAGTTAGCTCAAGCATCCCGACAGGAGGAAGATGCCCTCGAAATCACTACGATGTTACAAGTAGACGTGAGTTGGATGCTTCTACATCCGTTACCAGCCCACCCCTCGCGCACCTTTTACTACCGCAGAGGCTGATTAACTCGCTCTAGCTCGGAGCATCAGTCATCACTCTGGAACCCTTGTAATTTTCGTACGGAATTTCAATGCACTCATAAACCCACGCATAGCAGATTCGGCACGGTCATCGCGCACATGATCTACGCAAAGATTGGTTCTATCCAGACAAGTCAAGCCCAGAATACCACGCCCAGAACATCTAGTTCAGCAGGTGTTGACCTCAGTCGGTGTCAAAAGAGATGGTAACGGTCATGGAGTGGTCCCAAACTCAAAGGACTCGCTAGATGCGGACAGTTCAACCTTTTTGTCTTGTATCTCGTCTTTCCCATTTCACTCTCAACCTCGGTAGCCAAGTCGCGTAAGAGCCCACTCAACGCTGGCAATGGGTTTTGAGAGAACTACGTCACAAGACAAGACATTGTCACATTGTCTTTCGGTGTATCACTCAGTATCAAAAACCAAAAGCCTCGTTCACCCCTACTGCGTTACTACCGCAAAAGTAGATCAAGAACCAGTGACTGCAGACTCCATGTGCACCTGGAGCTCAAAACTTGGGCAGAAAGTACCGCGACATTGCACGGGTCTCGGACCTGTGACCGAAGAATGCATGTTTGGAGAACCTAGATCGTATCTAGATCTATATCAAAACCTTGTGAGGGCACGTGAGGGGATATCAAACAAGCCTACTACTTTGCAGTTGCCACCCCTTCACTGTGATTAGATCACACACTCCAACGCGTGTAATGTTCTTGGCCTCCATGACAGCCAAATGAGCGGCTACACTCCAATGCGAAGCCATTTTCCAACTACAAACAAACCTCAATTCAATATTGCTCTCTTACGAAAACTGCCCAATGAAAGACGGAAAGCCAAGTTCAGACATGCTCACTACTCCGCATACCACGTTCTTCCCGCCGATTGAAGCCATTAATGTAACAGGTAATTCTCTCGTCGCTTCGGAGTTCGCACTGGCAGGGTGCGCGGCGTCCTGGTGTGCGTCCAGTTGAATACGGACGTGTTGATAGGAGTAACATCCCCGGGAAGCACCCACCTAGGCGTTCGGGTGCGCATAGTAGGCATGAATATCGCCGCGCGAACTTCTCCATGCTGCCCCGATCGAAGATATGATACTCAGGCGCCGAAGACAAAGAGGGCTGTACCGATAACGAGTGCATACATTGCGAGACACGGCAGCAAGAGCACACGTCCTTCGCGAAGCTCTGGCGGCTCTTCGGCCGTGGGTTGTCCGGGTGGAGATGCCTTACGCGGTTATGATTGAATTAGCGCACGTGTCTCGGAAGGGACAGAAGAAGCTCTACATTTTCGGCGAGCTCCTTGATAAGTGGCAGGAGACTGAGGGTCTTGTTCACAATGGCGGCCAATGATTAGCGTCGACCCCATGAGAATCTATGAACTCTTCTTCAGCATCTACTTCGCACCGTCTTCCGCATTATCATTGGGGGGAGCGTATTGCTGTTGGCTGCCTCTTGCTCGCCGTGGGCCAGCCCACAAAGTTGATCTGGGCCGAAAAAGTACATCGACGCCCCCACGAATACCGATATATCAATGACAATGCTAACCAAGAGCCACCAGTTCAGTGAAGAGTAGTACGTTGCCACCATCATGCAAGCCCATGTAAGTTGAACGTTGCTCCCGATAGCGCTGTAGCGTATTGCCAGGGGTCTTGAAAGTAGTCTGGCCGACGAGATAATCGCTCCGCCAGCCACTTGGAAGGAGCTGACCATAGGAACAGACGATGCGTTGCGATGAATCTTGCGAGGAGTAGCGCGATAAATGCGATAATAATCGTAATGATGATACTAAGCACCTTGGAGAATCGGAGAGACATGAAGACAACTTTTGTCGAGGTTCAGGCCGGAGTCTGCGTTTAGCGCGGTGGGTTGTGTAGGGGAGGACAATGCAAGCACGATCATGATGAGAGTTGATTTCGGGGTCGTGGATTGCAAGCGCGGAGCGCGATGGAAGCGCGCAATGAACTGGAATGGGTCGGCGTGATATAAAGTTGGAAGACGTCCCCAGACTCAATCGATATCGTGAAGATGGTCGGACGGCAGAGCTAGAGATGATGGACTGATGCTGCGAGTGCAGTGTTGGCTGCGAAGAGGCCAGCAAGGTTTACGATAAGAGTGTATGTACTGGCCTAGCGAGCGAATGGTGCGAAGATGTGTGAAGAGATCAACAGAAGCTGCTCATGTTGGCGGCGATGGAGGAAAAGACTAGTGAGCAGGCAACCAGCTGCGTACGCATATCACAACGGAGAGAGCGCAACAAAGACCGGAAGTCATTAGATCGACGCAAAGACAACGTGGGAAACGGGTATGGGCAAGCATAGCGGCATTGTATTGGTATGGCCGCCCAGTTCCGCGTTGACCTCGGCTCTTTCGACTTCACCAGGCTCATGACCAGCAAGCTCGCTAAACACGACGGTACCAAGGAGATCTTTATCTTTGTCTAGGAGTAGCTCTCCATTCTCGCCCTTGGCAACAAAGTCGAAGAAGATAAGCTGATGCGAACGTGACGAGCCAGAAAGGTTGCGTGGAGTCTGTCTGCATCGGCGGGCTTTAACGCATCGCCGTACAAAGTTCATCGCATCCTTGTGAGTTCCGAGCTTAGTGTGTGATGATGCCTGGCGAAATCTCCCTTCCTTCAACTTGCCGTCAAGCTTTGCTACTGTTGCTATGCCTTTTTCGAGAGTACATACAACAATCTCGTTCTTCTCGCCGATACATATCTCTATCAATCGTCCAACAACACCAACCTCTCGTGGCCTGTTCTTGAAGAGCAGTTTGGATGTGCAGCCGATCACAGACGTGTCCAAGGTAAATGGGCCACCTGCAGCGTCGCCCGTCATCACCCGCGTCTTGCCGAGACCAGAGAATCTAACGTCAAGAAGAACAGGGCAGTGGTACTTGCGCTCCGTCAGCTTCAAAGAGAGGTGGAGAACCCATGGCTCCAGCTCAGCGAAGATGTCGCCCGGTGTGGCGTCGTGGGAGAATAAGCGGTCGAGTTGAAAGGACTTGTCATCTAGCGTGACCTTGTGGGTACAGAGATCAGGGACAAAGCGCTTATGCGGCGTAGGGTTCGTCTGGCGCCAGATGCCCCAATGCGCGACAGAACATCGGGGTTCCTTCAGCCCATCGTAGCGCGCTTGTATCGTTTTGGCTGTCTCTTTCGGGAGATCGGGTTCCTCGCATCTGTCCTCTGCGCCGAGGTTGTGGTCCAGCGTCGGGGCGTTTGATGCAGGGGCCTGGGGCTCTGGGCGGAAGGCTTGCTGGCCCTCACCCGGAGACTGTTGTTCGTGGTCCTGTTGGGGTTTGAACCTATCCCGGAGGCTGTAATTCATGATGTTGGGGAATCGTAGGAGACCTCGTTGCGATCGGCTGGGTCGGGAGAGCGAAGGTTCCTGGACCTCTTCCGAAGGCTGCTGTGCGCGGTCATGTTGGGTCGTCGGGAAACTCGGTGCAGGTCAAACGAGACTTGCCACGTCCGCCTCTCGGCAAAGACGTCCCGGAGCCTGGCTTCGGTGATGGCGGTACTGGCAAGGCGGGCCAGGGCGATAGCAGCCAGCTGCTCGACAGAAGGTAGGCCCCGGGGCGCGTTGCTGTCTTGGTCGGTCATCGCGATGGGCGGTGGACAGCCTGAGCGGCGAAGAGCGAGCTGTCTGGGAGGCTCTACATACAGCAGGGCCCGCCTGAGGAGCGCTGCGCAGGCTGAGACATGCAGCAGCACGCACGTTGCTGGCGCCGTGGTTGCGGCGGCCTGGGCGGCTGCATCTGGCATTGGAGATGACGAGAGGGCGTGCCGAGCATGGCATGTGTGGGTTGATGCGCGCTGATGGGTATGAAGCAATGCGAGGAAGAGCAGCTAGGGCCAGAGAGCTCCATGGTCTCGTGCTGCGCCTGGCCTTCACGCGCGTGTCGCGACCCGTCGACGTCGGGCGATGACGCACCAGTGGAGGCGAGACTGCGCCACACTGATTTGGTACTAGCGTTTGACCTTGATGCATGCTCGATATGGCAACCCTACACTCCCTCGTGACGAACCAGTCGACGGGCTACGTGTTTTCAGCCTATGTCGTCGCTTCCATTCTCTTTGACATTTCATGCACCTTGAGCTCAGCCAAACAAAATCGTAGATGTTCCGTCCGGTCCACGTACTCGTCTCCCCTGTCTCCCCCAGCCGCCTGTCTGATCTCGATCGTGTCTTCAAAGTACGTGGAGAGGTCGTCTATCCGCTAAGACTCATCTCTGGTACGTTCTCCCTCTCCGCTCGGATGTCTTTCACTAAGTCTTCGGGACGGCATGACGAGCCACGGCGCATCCCCAGTCGTGCTGTTGCCCTGCAAGTCGAGCCACAGAGCTTGTGATCTGTGATACGTCTCGACAACATCGCATGCTGCCATCGCCATCCTTTCTTTCCACTTTTCTTAATCTTGCGCCGACTTCAGTAATGTGAGTGTTAGGCTGAGCAACGACTCCGTCGACCTGCCGAGTGCGTCCACAACATCGGGCAGTCCTTCTGTGAAACATCATATATCCACAACATCCTGTTTTCATTAGTGCAAGGTCGCGATAGTCGCTCATCATAGCTCTCGACTCCTTCCCCGTCGTCGGCGTCAATATCTTACGTGCGTATCTATGTGCGACTCTGCGGTTGCGGAGCAATTAGGCCCTCGTTTTCCCCCTTTCCCCTATGCTTTCTACCATCTCCAATGCTGGGCTTGCGTGATACATTCTTCGATATCGTCAAGATGGAATTTTATGTCGCGCAGGATTTGAAGCAAAGATTCGTTCGGCTTGCGGGCTTGTCGTAGACTCACTGCAGTGCTGTCTTCTTCCCCGGGCCTGTGGGAATCGCACATTCGTGGTGTAATGCTGCTCGATGGACACGCTTAGAAGAATGCTATGATTCAGATGTAACGGGTTGAAGTTTACGACCATAAGTGAGAGAGCCTTGGAAACATGTCGTTTGCCCGCTGGGGCCATTGTCATGCGGGTACGGACGTGGTTGCTGTCGTGCCACCCAGCAACACCGCATTCATGTCACACGGCTATGGATTGCTCACCGTCGATCTCTTCATCTTCCCTCCGCCCAGTTTTACTTCAGGTTACTTCTCCCCACCTTCCACAACGCGCACTTGGATATCATTCTTGCAGTCGCGGTAGCTTTTGACGGTCACAGTTGTATTCATCAAGCTTAGATCATCCAAGTCAAATTGCTGGCTGCTACTCATATCACTTTGGCAGGATAACTGTTGATCACTGCTTCTAATCGACTTGCTTCCAATAGTGGTGTGGCAGTTCGCGACTAACGCGCTCACCTTCAACGTGCCTGTCCAGGCCGACAACGACAGTGTCAGATGTCTCCTGGGCTTCACCTCGGCGGCATACGTCGAGGAATAAACTGATCAGTGCCCACCATGAACATTATCCCTATCCTGCCTCGAGCTGGGAGAAACAACAAGCTAGCCATGTACGGGCTTGACGGTCGAGTGAACTACTGCGACAAGCACAATTGCCGACATTGACAATCTAATCTGCTAGGTTGTTAAAGCCCTGGTATTGAGTACAGATCTGCACTTGAGTGGAAGGGCATCTTAGATCACCTGGATTTCACACGTAAGGCAATCAGGATTCACCCAACACTTTCCTCAGTCACGTTCAGCGCATTCGAGCTCAAGTAGTCTGCGTCTTTTGTTACAGATCTCTCGTACAGCATACTACTTAGACTCTCTCGAGATAAATACATTGTTATTACGTAGATTATAACAAGATCTATAATGGTGCTGTGCTCTATCAATTCACTGAAAGTGCTTCCGTGGAATCGCTTGATTGACCTTAAAAACTGTTATAACTGTGAAGTCGTCGACTTAAATAAGGGGGAGCTCGTCGACTTGAAAGAGCCAGTCTGCTGCGACAAAGACGACAACGACTACAGCGATGATGTAAACCAAATACGTGATGCCAAGTAGGCATATTCGTACAGGGTCGAATTCGGGCTCGAGATTGTCAGGAGGAGAATCTAGAGGCCTATAGGACTCGCTCCGCATGGACTGAGCTCGAGCATCTTGTCTATCGTGCCCAAGCGGCCTGTCCATCCTGCTCTCCATGTATGGATCTGGGTCTCTTTGCGCATCGGGTTGAAGTGGCCCGTCTGCGCCGGTCATTTCGTACGTATCTTCTCTTTCCGCATCAGGTTGAAGTGGCCCGTCTGCGCCGGTCATTTCGTACGTATCTTCTCTTTCCGCATCAGGTTGAAGTGGCCCGTCTGCGCCGGTCATCGTGTACGGATCTGGATCTTTTTGCGCATCGGGTTGAAGCGGCCGGTCTATGCCGCTATTCATGGACTGCGCTAGGAACTGTCCTGGATTTTGTTCCGGGTATTGCTCTGGCGGCTCGTGGGACTCGTTGTCGTTAAGGGCAAGAGGACGAGTTACGTTATCGTGAAAGTCGTTATCGTGCATGTCAACAATATTTGGACCCCGATCGAGACGATCTTGGCGTTGTTGATGTAGTGTCTCCTGACTAAACGGAACAGGCGCACTTGCGAGAGATCGAGAAGAGGACAGACCCTGTGCTGGGTGTCTAGTTCTCGATCGTTCTGTGGACTCGATCAATAGTTCTAGACGATCAAGTCTAGTCATTAACAGGTCTGCGAACCCTTGAAAGGGGCAGTCGGATACGGGTGGAGTCATTCCAGTCGTCGACGGAAGAGGTGGTTGAGTAGCAAGATTAGACTCTTGCCTTCCCAAGTTGCTTTGTGTGCCCGTGTAACGATCGGTGGTAGTTTGCGTGCCGTCTTCAGATCTGGCTTCTACAGGTGATCCGGGTCTACCAGTAGTACCCACATCACCGGCACTGAAGTTACCCGATTCGTGATGCGATGTCGCATGTGCGGAGGTGCAAGGCAGGCCTTCTATATAGACGCCGCTGGTGTCGTCGAGCTCGCTGACGTCGATGGTCGTGTTTCCCCCAGTCCTGTTTATTGTAATGCGAACCATTGTGTGGAAAAATCTTCAGGTGCGGTAGGCGATTCAATGTCGACAAATTTGCGGAGTTGTAATTGAGATGAGTTGTAAGTTTATGGCTACTGCTCAGCGGGCAGTTCTTTATACAGTCTGCTCCCGCCGCCGCTAAAAAAATTTAGCTGGTACCTGATTGTCTTCGACGCTGTTCGAAAACTCAAGGTGAATGTCTCCTGTAGTTTCATCATTGTTATCGACATTGTTTGTACTCTCGGCGTGCGCGTTTCCAGCGATGTATTCACTATTCCCGGCGTGATTGGTGTGGTCAACATGAGCCTTTCTGACGACACTGCTTTACTGCACAGCATGGGTATTATCTGTATATTCGAACAAGGGGTCTCTACGGCGGGGCTGATTGAGATTCGCTCGACCAATGGGCCACGTCCAGAGCTGTCTCACATTCTCTCGACGGTTGAGTTCAGGCATCTTATTGGCGTCAGCTTCTTTCCTGCAAAGATCATGAATCAGGAATTACTGCTCGTCAATTGCTGCGCCATGAGAGACGGCGTATCCCACACCTGAATGCTGCAACCATGTAGAATCGTGTCAAAGTCCGACGTGTGTTTGTCTTGCCACTCCGTCTGGATAGTGAGAAGCTTGGACTATAGGTTTTGTGCCCTTCCATCATACTTTTGCACACCTGAAGCAGGTTGGCCTTTCGTATCGAGCGAAGTCAGCAATCAGATTGGTCAGGAACAGGTCGTCTACCATGGTGTCTAGGCTTCGGCGGTCCCGCTGAGCGGAGGAAGCTATTTCTACATGCAAGAGACGCTGAGCTCCTCTGCGCCTTTGCATCACCGCGTTCAGACTTGTCTTCTCTCTTGACGAGTTCTGAGGAATCGATACCCTCACGCAATAAAGATGCACATAGATAACAACTTCTGATACCACCATCTCTGGAACACTGGGCAGAGGGCAGTTGCTTCCCAGCAATGTTATCTCTCGAGGAAGCAGCACGCTGTCTAGCGCAATCTCGCAGAGGATACGGAATTTGAATGTTAGTACGCGAGCGAAAGAAACGCTTTATACTCACAGTCGGGCTTTGTTGAAGAACACAGAATAGGCGCGATGCATACGCTGCTGGTCCTCGTGTAGGCTTGTTGGAAACGCCAGCGTAAAGGAAGGGTAGTCTGGTGAATACAGATGTTACATGATAGTGTGAAAAGATTGAGAGACTGAGGGAGAGAGCAGGCAGCAGTATCGTGAATGCAGCTAAAAGCGTGTGTGCTGATGCTCAAGCTGGCGAAACATGGTGAAAAAGGTAAGGTGCACAGCGACCTCTCATGCCTCTGAATGCGGTCCAAGGTACTTTACCAGCGTCGTCGTTCCACGAATCTTGTAATAATGAAGGGTTCCCGTCCATAGGCTTTCCTCCCTTGGGTTTGTTCTTTCCCAACGACACAGCGATGCAACAGCGACTGTCTAGCGGGATGAGACTGTACGAGTATAGGCACCCATAGACTTGCCGGCGATGGGTGGGAATGACCAAGAGACATCTGCATGTGATGGTGAATATCATGTAAGCATCACACCGCCACCTAGGTTGTGATGATGGCGCATGCGAGCGACGCTGGACCTGAACCACACGGGCTGC